AACAATGAAAGTCTCGTGTGGTAGTCGTCCAATCGAAGATCTTGAAAAACCTTTAAAATTTGTTAAGACAACTGCCTACCCATTGCTTATTACAACGTGTTAGCAGCGTTCTTAAATCGAAAGGCTAAGTACCTTAGAATTGCCTTCAGTTGTTGATGCCCGCCGGTGATGTACACGGCGGGAATTCTTGGAAGAAAAGTGAATTTGTGCTGTTTTCGATTGTGGAAAGATCAACATGAGTTTTTTCTTTTTACGTGAAGAACCGTGCAGAGAAACATTCTAAAAGATCAAAAAGAGAACAAAAAGTGCAGAGTGATGGGTTTGGTCCAGGCTTTCATTTTCCAGGGTGTGCAAAAACATGTGTTACTATATCCCAGCCAAGGGTTTAATTGCATTTTTCATTTAATGACAAACTAAAGGAGTTTTTAATGATTCAAATTAAGATTTGTAAAAAAAAATGCAATCAAAATCATTATTTTCAGGGATCACCCTGGTTAATGATGAAACATTTTAATTTTTACCTCAGAATCGTTTATCCACACTTTGTACAATTGCACATAAAACGTTTTAAGTATTTGAATAAAATTTAAGGAGGTCTTTCGTTCTCAGAAATGTTAAGGAGAAGTTTAAAATTGATAACTCCTGATTTTATGGCGTAACTTGAATTTATTTATGTGCTGAACATCGCAAAAGACAATGAACATATTCGGATTATCTTTCATTCTCTATTTACTTAAACTATCAGAAGGTCCTGGGCTATGAGTCTGGCCTAGTATGAAAGTTTATCTTATAACAAATAAAAAGGTGCACTTATTTGATTACCTTCCGCTGCAGTTCCTGTAGTCGAGTTTCATAGCTCTGAATAAAGAATTAACAAAGTTCACAGATTAAGTTTAAGCACAACAAGCAATCAGTTAGTAAGACAATCAGTGCGCTAAAAACACACACAAGGGTAACATTACCACTCTCTGTTGTTCTAGAAGCAAGTCAGCTTGATCTTTTTCTTTCTTAATTTGCTCCTCAAGTTCGAGAACCCTGAAGAAAAGCATTACAGTGTCCGTTTAAAATGAAAAGTCCCTACAAATCTACATAAAAAACAATCACCAGCAGTAAAACAGTGTTACTTAAGTAGAGGAGGCACGGTGGCCTCGTGGTCAGTGCGCTCGACTCCCGAGCGAGTCGTCCGGGTTCGAGCCCTGGCAGAGGGCGTTGTGTTGTGTTCTTGGGTAAGACACAGTGCCTCTCTCCACCCAGGTGTATAAATGGGTACCGGCGAACTAAATGCTGGGGGCTAACCTTGCGATGGACTAGCATCCCATCCAGGGGGGAGTAGAAAAACCCCTAGTCGCTTCATGCTACTGAAACCGGGTTAAGCTCCGGCCTGATGAGCTTCTTGGCTCCTATGCAGACTTAAACTATTAATTTCCCATAACGATTACAAAACACTCCACCTTTCATTCATTTCTTTAACATCCCATCCTTGCTCTCTTAGGAGTTCCAACACGGCAAATGACCAGTCTACAGGCTCTTCACCTTTCGCCTCATTTTTTCCTACAGAAACAACCGCAATAAACTTTTATTTAATGCCACTCCTTCTGTATATTTCCTTGGAACTGACTCACTTAATATTGTTAGTATAATTTTCTTTGGTTAACTTCTCTTCAGAGATAGTAGTATATTAGTGCTAGCTGGCAGTATTATCTTGTACATGTACTATCAAAGTTGTATCAAACCCCTCACCTTTAAAGGCTTTTCTTTTAAGTAGTGTTATTCTTAGGGAGGGAGGGGTTATTATAAGAATGTGGGACTTAATGCAGCTTTTCAAAACTTTGTTTTTTTTTTATAGATGATTGACGAATAACTTGATATTGGTCATAAGTGCAATATCACGAAAAATCCACGTCCATCTCACATTTAAGTAAACATGGCTGGCAACTGATACTAAGGGCCTGTCCACACTATGCCGGAGAAATTTGAAAAAGCAACTTTCTTTCCCACGATTAGGCTTACCGTCCACACTAATCCCTCACGAAAACAGAGCTTTTCGAAAACGCTCTTCAAATTAGAGGAATTTGAAAACGGAGTTTTTCGAAAACAGTGACAATGAAGTTATGATAATCCTGTGATTTCCCTGCCCGAGGTTTCCTACACAAATCTAAACTGACGGGTGATTATTGCGTTTTCAAATTTCTCAGGCGTAGTGTGGAAGGAAAACATTTGATGCGTTTTGCGGACGGGACCTAAAAGAGGGAACAGACATTAACGTACCATTGATGTCTTCCAGAAGATTTCCTCGGGACTGACGAATCCGCTCCTCGCGGGCTGGTGATAAAGCAAATAAAACATCAAGCTTTCTTGCCAAGTTTCTCGTCAACGAAACAAAAATCACGTGAAACAATCAAACAGCATACCTTGATCAGGATAATTAAATCTGAATACGTGATTGTTTCCAAGAATAATACGAGCCCCTGAAAAATGGAACATTGAATGAAATTAAGTTCCAGCCATCCCTTTCTGACAACTGGAAATTCATGAACAATCTAGTGTGTCTTCATTCCAACACTCACCTGATCTTAACACTGTGGATTCTGTGACCAACTTTCCGTTGACAAATGTACGGCTGTTCTCGCACGGAATTATTTTTACTACACCTACAGATAACAACACAAAGCTAAGATTAACATCTTCAATAACAATAGCATCACCAACAACAAAGTACTGTACATGCACACGTACTACATAAACTTTGAATTCAATGATTTGTGGGTATCGGGAAGGCGTTCCACAGCTTTTGGAAAGTAGAATCTGCCTTGAAGAACGAAGCAGGCCGCCAATATTAGAGCTAAAGATACTGTGTAAATTCCCCGACAAATGCGACGTGAATATGAGCTCAACAACATGAAGGGTTCACTTGCCTTGATTATGTTCTAAGAGACAGTGCTCATCAAGGATATTCTCGCCACTCAGCTGGATATCTTGATGACTTTTTGCTCTGGCTTGGCCGACCCTACAGCATAAACATAACAGTCACGAAAATAACGTACCGAAGCAATTGCGTCGCTATAAATCAACTTAAGTTCAGTTCAATCCATTGCTTGACATTTTAATGGAATTTGGGAGCTTTGGCCAGCCCTTGTACTGCTTTGCAGTACAAAAAACTAAAACTCTCTTAGTTTTAAGTTAAAACTAAGAGAGTGTAAAGAGAGTTTTCCCAAATAAAGGTCTTATTCCCAACGTAATCCCCACAAAGCATTATTTACAGCGGTTTCAGAAATACCAGGATGGTCTAGAAACAGCCAGTCCCGTGACGCGGAGTTTGCCAACGTGGACAGCCCTTACACGTATCTTCTCCCTCCACGAAAACATCCACGCCACGCGCGTAGTAACATTATCCTCCAAAAAACAAGTACCATGTCTATTTATATATTGAGAGGGATAACCTCGCAATAATAAGACCTATTTGGGCGATTAGAACATCTCTATAATGATATTTTACAAACTCACGACTTCCGAAAGTTATGAACGTCAGATTTGACATTCAAAGAATGTCCATCAAAAAACAACTAGCTAACAAGAAGTAAGTTGGTAGTTCAGAGTTATAATTTGAGTTACAAACAGTTTATGTACCTTGTCACTCCATCCTTCACGTAGTAAAGAAGGCATTCAGACATCAAGGGATCTTCATTCAAATTCACTAAATGAGGACTCTGAAAGAAATTCAAGCAATACAAACAGCTTCCGTGTTGCTCAATTTTGGTGTTGTGCTGTCCTTTGTAGTGACAATAACGTATCAAGTCATGAAGAATAGTCATTAGACGTTTTGGCACACAGTATCAGTATATATAATGATAAGTCTTACAGTATTTTAACAAGCCAGCAGAGTAAGTCATTCAGCAGCACATCACAGAAATGTAGAGCAATACTTAACACTTAAATGTCTAGTACTTAAAAGATTTAATAAGCCATGACTTTGAACTGCGTTTATGTAAACACTTGAATCATATTGCAGGAACTGTGTTCATAACCTACCCTTCTTGGCTGAAAAAGTCCAACTGTATGACCATCAACACCAATAGCAACACCCATTTCAGCTAGCATTGCCTCTCTGCAAAATTAATAAAATGAAATCTTTTCACGCGTTTTGTCACTATCTGTAATTATCTCTTTGAGGTTTATAATGTAACCTAAAAACAGCCCCTTAAGTTTGTGGTGAAAGGTTCCAAGAAATGTTTAGAACCTTTTGATGATCACTAAAGACGTTCATGAGAAGGAGAAAGATGTCTGAGATTAGATGACCTGAAACCAATAAGGTGGAAAAGAATGGGATGATGCCACAATTTTCATCTATTTCAACAGTACTACCTCTTAGCTAGTTTACTGTAACAAACCTGAACAGTAGCTAATTCAAACACTTTAAAGAATCATAAATTGTTTTATCTATTCTAACCTCTCCTGCTTGATGGCTTCTGTTTTCCTTAGCTTCTCTTCCCAGGTTTCATTGAGCTCAGCTATAAGTTTCTCTGATACCTATAATTCAATATAATACCACACGTCTGTATAGAAACGGAAGTAGCAAATTTAGGTGGACCTATTAACTGCATCCACAAACTACAGAATAAGTCCAGTAGCTGTTACAGGAGTAGTTATGTGTTACTATCAACTAAAGGTTGATAATCTGATTATACAGATGTACTACAGGCCAGGCATTTATTCTAAATGCTACATCAATGACGTGACAAGCTCTGTGAGGCCATTGACTGAAGCATGGGGACATGTTGGGCTCCAACAATATGGCTGGTACCTCTTTCAACACAGGTTCCTTGTCAGCAAGTGCACCTTAAGGTCAAGGTATTGTACCAAGGTGCTTTTTTGGCCCAATTTCTATTGGTAGATAACACTGCACCCAGTGAAGAACAATGAACTAAATGCTTCTCAGGTCATTTCACATCACGAAAACCTGAAGTGCCTCCAGAGAGAGTTGAAGTAAACTTTTGTCCAACTCTTATCCAGTGAGCACACATCAACTCTCGTACCCATCTGAACTGGCCTTAATCTTCTAGTACAGCTGTACAGTATCTGTAACTCTCCTCAGGTAATTGAGTTTTTTATCAGATCTGTTGTTCTCTTGACCTGAGTTTTTATGAGGATTAAAGAGTTCAGAGAGAATCCAACCTTAAGCCTCTCTAGGGTTCCATCCTGGAATTCCTGGCTATACCTTCTTGGCAAGTGAGTGGAACCCTGCTTTAACACAGCTGAAAATGAAAATGTTGTTGAATGTTTATACTGTTGTCAATGCGCTTAGCTACACCTAGCTACTGTAGTTCACAGACACGCCAGTTAAACTGAGCGAAACAAATATTAATATCAACTAAACAAAATACGCTTAAAACTCCCAACTGGCAAGAGGCAGACCAGTTGGCTATTTGCATGACCAAAGAGTTCAACTACAGTCTACTGAGAACTCTAGCTAAGTGGGTAGAGAGGGACTTGCACCCATGACCTGCGGATTTCAAGTCTGGTGTCCTAACCACTTGGCCACACTGCCTCCCCAAGAAACGAAGTATGCACTAGTCAAAAAACCTGATGGAAAAGAGTCTTCAAGGAAAGAAGATAAAGTTACAAGAAAAATGTTTTTAAAGAAACAAAAATAAGTATAAATGGGCACTACATATGTAAATGAAACGAATAAATAAAAGGAGGAGCAAAGACATGCTGAGTGATTTTCAACTTACATTGCAGATCATCAGGATTGTAGCCTTCGTTGACAAGAAGCTCCTTTAGCTTTGACACTTCTTCTTTTAATTCTCTAATAATCTAGATTGGAAAAGATGTTTCCTTTGGATGATTCTTTGCAACTTTGACATAAGGTTATTGAAAACATTTTCAGAATGAAACTATTGATTTTAAAAAAATTGAATAGGGTTCCATAAGTTCACAGTTCCCCACATGTTGGAGATTAGACATATGAAAGAGTCAGTTCAAATTTCTGTTCACAGGCTTACCATCTTCTGTTTGTGAGCTAAACTGTGCTTTTCATTGACTGTGTCAGCTAACCTAACCTTTCTAAACCAGGTAATATGGGGGGAGGGGCTTTTAAAACTGATTCATGTAAAATGAATATAAGCATTAACAGGAAGTTGTTCTCTCTTGGTCTGGATTGATTTGTCGACTTAAGAACTTGAGAGCAAGCCTTGTTGTCTTGTTCTATGATGAAAACCATCCACACCAAAAAAATTTGGTAGGCCTGTGGCCTGTGTTCTGATTCTTGGTTTAATACATTATTATAAATAGACTTAATTCTTTCAGGGATGAGGCTTATTGATCCTAAGAGTGGCATGTGGAATTTTGGTGAAGTCCAGGAGGTACACATGTACTTTGTTATCTGGAGGTTGTTTGACAATACCTTTGCATTAGGATCTTCATTGACAATAGCTTTACAGACAATCTGCTTGGCACGGTCAGCATATCTGTTAGAACATTTAAATAGCAAGAGAGTTAATTAACTAAGATAAATTTGTGTCAATAAAGGAACCCCTTAGAACATGGCATTCTACATTGTGCCCTTGTTGAATGCATGGATTCAAGATTCTCCTCCCCTACTCACCCTCCTACAGGGAAGAAGAAATGATTAACAGGGCGGAAATCCAACTGTGGCAGGTAGTAAGTAATATATGACACACAAAAGACATTGTTTGACCACCTTTCCAAACACTGAGAACAGAGTTGAGGAAAATACGACCTNCGAAAAGAAACAAAAAAATTCACCATCTTCATTCACTTATCACAACAATATTCTTACCTTCGCTGTGTAAACACAATACTGAAAATTGCATGGGATCTACTGCTGGTTTCATTCATGTTAGTGGCAGCCACTGTCCTGTGAATTAGAAAAAAAAACAACAAAATAATAAGCCCTCAATACAGAACACTAAAAGGAATTTCAAGAAAATAAAAATTTAATCATTATTGTTGTGATAAATAATTTCAACTCAATTTTTACAAATTCTGTATGCTATGTTATCTTGTATATTAACTGCTATATATTCTGTAAGAAATGATCTTGTATATCACCAAGTAAGCTGACATTCAATTAATTTCAAGGTCTTTAACACTCTATCTTATGACGGAGAAAGTGACTGGCTGAGAGCAGACCAATAAAATTTAAAAAATTGTTAATTTTAAATTTGCACTACAGTGAGAACTGACGCATGTGTACATGTATTCAAAATTTCCTTGGTCATATATTAATAAATTATTGTATGAAAGCTCAAGCAATTAAGGACTTACACTTCAAGCCATATTTGAAAATTNTCTTCCCTTGTTCCTCTCTTTTGTTTCAATAAAAATAATTCTAACTAGCCAATAGGGACTAACTCGAAAACGTAATCATAATCGGTCTTTTAGCCTCCAGGCTCTTGTTTTATAATAACTACTTTCCTTTTATCTTTATTAACAGGTATAATCAACTTTTAACGTATCTGCCGTGTAATTTTGTTTGTGAGCCAATAAAGATTATGGTACTATTCAGGGCTTCTGATATTCTGCAATGGTGCGATTTTGCACAATTGACCTAAAATTGTAACAAATCACATAATTCACAAAAAATCCCAAAATTCTTACAAAATAGCACAAATTATTTGAGGAAAAGAGAGGAAAATGTCTAATAGGGTCTTGGATAGCAAAAAATGGGTTGTGCTCCTCTGAGACCTAATAAAACAAGGTTAAACTGCTAAAAAGAAATTGCATAATTTGCTGCAAAATAGACCTTTCTTGCCACATAATGTGCCTTGAAAATTCTGCATACATGTACATGTAATTTCTTAAAAATGTTTGCAGAATATCAGAAGCCCCATAATTATTGTATTGTGTTGTTATAATTGACAGGCCAGAAATGAGGTGCAGTGTACAACTGCATTAAACTTTAACTGGCTAGTCATCTTGACCGGCAACCATGTGACCATTATTTTCAACCCTGTCCAAGATAGTGGAGTTGCTATTTTAGCCTTTTTTGCATATTAGAAATCTTTACCTCATTATGAGACCAGTAAGAATAATCAAAAGTAAAGCTCTTGGGTTTTTCACTCAGGTTTCTGGGGTTCATGATGGCTGCAAAGAAAAAGGAATAATGAGGGAAGTACCTTACAACTGTACACTGTACACATAACAATATTTATTGTTGGTAAAGGGTATTTTCGTGATTCGTGAATGGACTAATTTTTTTCCGTGTAATGTGAAATAGCTTGTTTTTTTCTCATGAATCGTGATTTCATTGGTAGCCGTGAATCATGATTTTCCAAAAAAGTTCTTCGTGAAA